AACAACTGTCTATAACTCTAGTTCCAGGGGATCCGAAGGCCTCTTCTGTCCTCTGCAGGCATTGCATGACACGGGTATGCTTACCTACATACAGGCAATACATGCATACACATAAAAAATAATAAATAAAATATTTTAAAAACAGTACTGACTGCTCTTGCAGAACACCCGGGTTCAATTTCCACTATCCACATGGCAGCTAACCACCCTCCATAACTCCAATTCCAGGGACTCTTGACACCCTCTTCTGACTTCCATGGGTATTGAATCATGCAAGTACACTTGCATACATGCAGGCAATACATTCATATGCATAAAATAAAAATAATAAAATATTTTTAAAATTATTTGTTATAAATTTTATTTTTAAGTTTTCTATTGCATTTGGGCGGTGGGAGGCACACGCAGGTCAGACTTTCGGGAGTGATTTCTGTCGTATCTGATGACAAACTCCAAGTGTCAGGCTTGGCAGCAAGCCCTTTTACCTGCTGAGCCATCTCACCATTTGACTTTTGATTCAGCTTGTCATTATTCCTTGTTTCTAAATGTTGCCCCTCTTTCTCTCATGTTGACATCTGGTCAAATCACACAGGCCAGCTACTTCCTGTGGCTTCTTTGTCCAGTTGTTAGGCTTTGGCCTTCGTTCCTTTTCTAGGCTGTTGTTTGACAGGTGTTACCATACTGCCTTCAAACCTAGACCAAATGGAGGAATGACTCAGGCTTGTGGCCATATTTACATACACAAGCCTGGCAGGGACAATACAAAGTGTAGCATATTGCAACCCAGAATGGTCCCGTTTTATTAGGAACACCTCAGAGTTGATCCTTGGCTAGGTTTACCAGAAAATAGCATGTGCTAATTCCAGGGTTTCTCTTCCCTGGATTGTGTCACTGTGGAAGGGCACCATGCTTGGTTTCTTACCAGCATCACAGTGAGTCCCTCAGGCTACCAAAAATTCACTCAAGGCACAGAAGAACTCTGGAGCCTATTTGGAGTCAACATAAACTAACTGGTGTGGCTCTAAGCTTTAGTTCTAGTAGTGACCCAAAATCAGGATATAAAATAAAGATTCCTGAACCTTGCTGAAATGTTGACACAATACACAGGATATGTCTGGCCTCAGACTACTTTCTAGCCACCATATAGTCTGCAAACAGTCTGCAGGTAGCATCCTGATTTTGTAAATAAAGTTTTACTGGTACACAGCAATATCCATTTGTCTACATATTTTCTATGGATACTTACTTCTTCTACAATAGCAGTTGAGTCATTGCAACAGAAATCCCATTAACCTCCAAAACCTACAATATTTACTATCTGGGCTTTTGAGAAAAACAAGCACCTTAACTCTTCTTGAATTTAGAATAAGGATACTAAGGTGAGCTGTCATTTGAAAGACAGACTGTTCTTATTAGACTACAGAGTATGAGAGCCAAGAATTGGTACTTTAGAAATCAGCCTGTTGTGGTTCATTATTGAATTCAACATAGGCGGTAATGACATCTGATTATAGCAGGTTTAGGAGGCCTTCATGTCTGTTTCATTAATAATGTCTCCTGATTATTATAGGAGAAAAAGATCAAAGGTACAAGATTTGGCCCCTGTGAAATTATTTAGGATATCAAATATGGAGACGAAGCTCTTATTACTTTACCTCAGCACACCCAGAAGCTGATAATGGGGAAGAGGATTATGGCTGAGTGTTTGTGTTCCTGTGAAATAAAAGTATAATAGGCACTCATTCAGAGAATAGCTGGTTCTTAGTAGTTGGGAGGACTGTTTCTACTAATAAAGACAATATTAGTAAATAATTGTCCACCAGTGCATTAGAGGTCCTTTGGGACTTAGCCTTCTGTGGAATGGAGGTCAGTCCGCCAAATGAAATGTTCAGCACTTTAAAACAATGACTGCTACACTTATTTTGAATAGAAATGAAAAAACTGCAAAGCATTGTTATCTTAAATTCTGTTATAACATCACCATCTAATCTAAAATCTGAAACTCTCCACCCCTTTCACAGTCTATTTTTCTGCACAGTATTTATCACTGCCTTTTTATTATAAAATTCTTACTTTTGGGCTGAGAACCAACTCCACAAAGTTGTCCTCTGACCTCTACACATGTCTTGGCACTCTGTGTCTACACATTTGCCTGTGCGCACGCACACACACACACACACACACACACACACACACACAATACATGTAAAAATATTTTTTTCAATGATTACTCTTTGTCCTCTCTACTAGAATGGACACTGATTTGGCTGCAGTCAGTAATTCATCAGTTCCAAAGAAGTAATTATGGCCATGTGTGTTGCTACATGCTTATAATCACAGCATTTGGGAGATAGAGACAGGAGGATCAGGAGTTTGAGGCCATCATGGGCTACATATGAGACCATGTCTGAAAAAAACAATAGCAGGAGTCACAAGATGGCTCAGCAGATAAAGGCTTCCTGCCACTGAACCTGATAGTCTGAGTTGCATCCCCAGGACCCACATGGTAAATGGAGAAAACCAATTCTCTTAAGTTGTCCTCTGATCTCCATATGTACCCCATGGGACATGACACACCACCAAGTTTTCTTCTTATTAAAAACGGAGCAGTCATCCTCAGATTTTCATTTATGTGACAGATGTGAAAACTGAGCTACCATGAGAAAAATCTCACTCACCTTTACCTGTCAATCCAATCTATACTTCTGCCCCAAGTGGCATTGTCACTCAATGTGTGTTCACTGCGAGCTGTCCATACAGCGATAGCTATGCTCAGAGTCACCCCGTCAAGGACTCGCCTGTCTGAGTGACTCAGATTTGGTAGCTCCTCTGTTCTCTCTGCCACTACTGCATGTTTATTCCTGTCGCTGTCATCAACTCATTAGCTATGAGAGAAGGAAACCTGGTGGAATGGGATGAGCACCAGCTCAAGGTCTCAGAGGTGTGTGCTTAGGATCCAGCTTTGTCACTGACCTGCTGTGTGAACTTCCTATGCAAGTGCCTCTTTAGAATTACTTAATTTTTAGAAGTAATTTATTAAGTCATCATTTTCTGAGCACCTAAAATGCATCTTGCACTATTGAATGAGATGGTGATTTTGTCTATATTCATGTAGTTGTCGTTCTAGTAGAAAAGACAAAAAGTAATAATTTTGTGATATAAGAAGTCATAGTTGGGCATAGTGGCACACACTTGTAATATCAGCACCTAGGAGATTGAATCAGAAGGATTGCTGTGAGTTGTGAGGCTAGCCTGAGCTACATAGTGAATTCTAGAAAAGCCTAAACTATAGTGTGAAGGCCTGTCTCTAAAATAAAATAAAAAGGACTGAAAATAAAAAGGGCTGGGGAGATGGCTCAGTTGGTAAAGTGCTTGCCTCACAAACTGGAGAACTTAGTTTAATCCCCAGAACTCAGATAAAAATGCCATGCTGGACATGGTGGCACATACTTATAATCCCAGTGCTGGGAGGCAGAGATAACAGGTCAACAGGACTTGCTGGCCAACCAGCCTAGCCTAACTGGTGAAGCATAGGCCAGTATAGTGAGTTCCAGGCCAGCTGGGGCTACAGAGAGCCCCTATCTCAAAAAGACAAAAAAGAAAATTATATATGTACAGGGAGGGGGAAGGAGATGACTCGGTGGGTAAAAGTGATTGCTGCACAAATCTGAGAACTGCAGTTTGGATCCCTTGAACTCTTATATAAGCAGGATACATGAATGTGTGTACCATGGCGTGTGTTTGTAGGTAAGAGGACAATTTGTAGGAGTAGATTCTCACCTTTTACCATGTGGGTCCCAGGGATTGAACTGAGGTCATCAATCTTGGCAGCAAGTGCCATTACCTACTGAGCCATCTTACTGGCCCTTGTCTTTGTCATTTCTCAAAAACAAATGAGCAAAAGCTTAAGCATCTAGATGTAATCACAGAGAATAGAGAAACAAGTTCAGTGACACCACAGAAAACAATTAGTGAAATCCAGAATGCTGGGTTTTCTACAAGGTAACCTGGTTTCTTCACAAATATATATCATGAAAGAAACGGGAAAGAGAGGGAACTATTCTGGATTAAAAACAGAAATGTGTCATTCAAGTACAAACATGAAAGAAACATCAGCAAGTGCAGTGGGAACCTGGTTTGGATATTGAGTTTTACTGAAAAAGGGCACTTTTTAAGATTTGAAAAAATTTTCAGGTAGGTTTCAGACATCAAAACACTTGGATTTTTGTTGGCTTTTGGGGGTGTTTTGTTGTGTTGTGTTGTTGACATGGTCTCCCTAGTCCCTCCCCCGCTAGAAGTTACTATGTGGACCAGGCTGACCTTGATATCATAGAGATCTGCCTGCTTCTGCCTCCCAAGGGCTCATATTAAAGGTGGGGGCCACCATACCTAGAACTGTCACATTTTTTTAGATGTAATGATGTTGAGATTCTGTGAAATGTTTTCACTGTCTCACAGATACACAGGCATAGGAGTTCCCAGGTAAAATAATTGCCTGAGTTTTAATTATGATTAGAACTAGATGCTTAGTCACCTTTTTTTCTGCACTAAAGTAAAGGAAGGGAAGCCGGGTGTCATAGCATATACCCACACACCAGCACTTGGGAGGCAGAGGCAGGCGAATCTTTGTGAGTTCAAAGCCATCCTGGTCTACAAAGTGAGTTCCAAGCCTATTAGGGTGTTACTTGATTATGCTCAGTTTTTCTTCCAGAGAACTTTCCCTAAAAGGTGTTTCTCTCACAAAGCCCATAACCTGGGCAGAATTGGTGATCAGGGCCCCCCCTTCATGACTAGTTTAAATTTACCAAAGCAGAAACCTAAAGATTGCTCTGTATTTCTGGGGCAGATTCTCGATAGCCTAACAGCACATTCCATTATGCACTGTGGTTTTATTGTTTTATGATTTTTTTTCTGTTTTTAGGTTTGCTCATTTTAATTCATGTTCATTTCTCCCTCTGTGCTTCTGTCACGCTTGCTGTCTTTACTTTCATCGTTCCCAGGTTACATTATAGCCAAGATATGCCCAGTCTCTTGGCCGATGAGCATGCACTGATAGCCTCCTATGTGGTCCGTCTGCAGCACTGTACACGGTTAGTTGGTAGAGCAGCAGCACTGGGTGGGTGGCCAGGGCTGCTCTGAGGGAGGGGGTAAGATCTGGTTCCTGCAATTTGCAGCAAGAGTTCTGTATGTGGGACATGATTGACAGAGTTAATTGCAAAAGCATTGTATTCCACAAGAGAAGGGACCTCGCCAAGCCTGGTACTGACCTCAGCATGGAGTTAAGAAGTCTCTTCTAAAGTAGGGTGTGTTCCCTGCAGGTTACACTGGGGGATTGTGTCCACCTCTGAGAGGCCTGAAGTTACAAAGCTAGAACATTCATAAATGAAGTTCATGTGCCCTATTCTTACCTAAATAAAGAAATCTTACTATTGACATTCAAAGTTTAGGGCTTCAACCCATAGTAGTACTGTGTCTAAGGGGAGTTCCAATTTTTGTATCATAGCCTGTTACATCTTCAGTGCTTTTTCTGTAAGCAGAAATCTGTCATTGATGATGAAAACCAGTGATTTTCAACATTGGTATGGGATCAGTTTCACCTAAGGGGTTTCTTATAAGTTTGTCTACCTTCTTATACTATGAGAATTGTATGTAGTATAATGGCCCCCACACCACTTACCCTGAAAGCTACTATGGCAATGACTTATTGTTAATATGAGAATTGACTGGTTCCTCAATGAGTTGGGATGGAAAAGCATTTGTTAACTGCTAACTATAGCAGAGTTAACACTTTTTTAAGGAAGAGTTAATACCAAACAAAGTGTTGTTATCATTCGGGTAGACTCAAGCCTCCTGTCCACCCCATGTCCATACCCATCACCATTCTTCCAAGAGATTGATAAAGATTAAACAGCATGAAGCCATCCCTCCCTCTGTGCAGTAGTAAAGAGACTGTCCAGTGGCCAACAACTTGTAGTCCTTCTGCTACATTTTTATTCTTTTTTTAAATATTTATTTTTATTATGTGTATGAGTGTATTGCCTGCATGTATGTGAGTGCACCTGTGTTGTGCAATGCCATGGAGGTCAGAAGAGAGCTTCAGATTCCCCTGGAACTGGAGTTAAGGACGATTTGTAGCCGCCATAAGGGTGCTGGGAATCGAACCCAGGTCCTCTGCAATAGCAATCAGTGCTCTTAACCACTGAGCCATCTCTCCAGCCCCTAGATTTTTATTCTTAGAGAGTAAACAATAATTAATAAATTATATACAAAATTGGGGCTGGAAGTTGGGTGTGGTGGCACACATCTTTAATCCTAGCACTCGGGAGGCAGAGGCAGGGCAGCCTGGTCTACATATCAAGTTCCAGGCCAATTGGGGCCAGAGTCCCAAGTTTGCCCATTACCACATTCTAGCTTCTTGTGAAATCATCTGTCTTCACTCATTACTGCCCATTATAACAGTGATAGTCTTTGGGGGAAATGTACGTGTGAAAAGGACTGTGTGAGGCCAGTGAGATGGCTCAGTAGGTAATGGCCCTTACTGCCAAAGCTGACAACTCACATGGTGGAAGGAGAGGACCAACTCCTGCAAATTGTCTTCTGACCTCCATACACATACCTTAGTACACATGTACACACATACACACCAAACAAATAAAAGTAAAACTGTATATTGGGGCTGGAGTGATAGCTCAGCCGTTAGAAAACTTACTGTTCTTATAGAGGACCTAAGTTAAGTTTCCAGCACCTGTATCAGGCAGCTCACAGCCAAATGTAACTTGAGTTCCAGGGTATCTTACACCCTCTTCTGGCCTCCACAGGTACCTGCACACATATGTGCTTACATACAGATATACATACATACACATCTTTTTAAAAAGTAAAAACGGGCTGGAAAGATGGCTCAGCACTGGCTGAGAGAGAGATAAGAACACTGGCTGCTCTTGTAGAAGACCTGGGTTTGGTTCCCAGCATCCACATGCAGCTAACAATTATCTGTAATTCCAGTTCCAGGAGATTTGACACCCTTTTCTGACCTCCACAGGTATTGTATGCATAGGTATACTTACAAACATGTAAGCAGAACACTAGCTTAACAAATTAGATTGAGGGTCAGGCGTGGTGCGCACTCCTTTAATCCCTGCACTCGGGAGGCAGAGGCAGGCGGATCTCTGAGTTCAAGGCCAGCCTGGTCTACATAGTGAGTTCCAGGATAGCTGGGACTACAGGGAGACCCTGTCTCAAAAAGACCAAAAAAAAAAAATTAGATTGAATTAAAAAGTAAAAACATTTCAGCCAGGCATGGTGGCACATGAGGTAGAGGCAGGTGGATCTCTGTAATTCAAGGCCACCTGGGGCTACAGGGAGACCCTGTCTCTACACACACACACATACACACACACACACACACACACACACACACACACACACACATACACACTGCAAAAAAAATATTTAAATGAAAGGACTATTTTTTAGCTATCGTACTTCATACCATTTCCCATAGTTTCCTCATGTGACTATGTAACAGCATTATTTAGAAGCATTTTCCTTTCCCTAGAGCCTTGGGGGAACTGTGGGGTCCTACAGACTCCCAGGTGGGTTTAATGAGCTTCTCCTGAGGGAGGAACAGTGTAATAATTACACATTCTGAGTGCCTTCCCATCCACCAGATGGTTTCTGTGCACTTGTTCTAGCCTCTTGGTCTCTGAGAACAGAGGTGTTTATCCCAGGAAGGATTAATTATGATCTGTCAGTAAAAGTAGTGATTTAAAAGCCTCCATGGTAAAACAGTAGCAAAATGTTGGCAGAAACTACTGCCTGATATTTCAGTCTAGGAGTTTGTGTTGGGTTTAGTCAAAATCCTCAAGTCCCAGGGCTTAAGACCTAGACTTCCCTGAGCAAGGGTTGGTGGTGAGTGGCCTAGGGAGAACAGGAAGCATGGATGAATGCTATATCCCCTATGATCTATAGTCTTAGGAAATGAGCCCCATATTGCCTTGAAGGAATCAGAAATTTCTTGTCTAACTTATTCTGAAAATATAAGTCAACTGGAACAGACCAATAAGGAATTTTCTAATAGCACGCAAATAGTTTTTTGCTTTGTTTTATTTTTATGGAACTGGGGTTGGGACCTAGGCAAGTGCTATACCCCTAAGCTATATCCTTATTCCTCTTTTTACTTTTTATTTTGGGACCATGTCTCACTAGTTACCCATGTTGACCTTGAACTAATTTTATAGCTCAGGAATACCTTGAACCCTTAAGCCTGTTCAGTAGCTGGGGTTACAGGCCTTGATCACCAGACTCAGTTCCTCAAATGGTTAAATAGTTTTCATTGACCTCAAGGAATCCTATCATCCACAATTCTGTATAAATGACAAATACAATTGACTTTCCTAAAGAGTCAAAATGTAGGGCTGGAGACATGGCTCAGTGGTTAAGAGCACTGACTGCTCCTGCAGAGGACCCAGGTTCAATACCCAGCACCCACATGACAGCTACAAACAGTCTTTAACTCCAGTTCCAGGGGAATCTGACACCCTCTTCTGACCTCCGCAGCATTGCACGACATAGGTACACTCACATACATGCAGGCAATACTCTCATACACATAAAATCAAAAATAATAATAAGTAAAATATTTTTTTTAAAAAAGTGTAGAAATGTGATAGAGAAAAAGGAGCTTTTTTGCACAGAGGAACCTATTGGATCCCTTGCCAGACACACAGGGCAGCCCCTTTAGGTCCCACTTCTTCGGCTGCCATATTTTCTACTTGTTTGACTGATCACTGTTTTTCATGAATTTTTACTTAGAAGCTGAAGATGATTTTAGATAAACACCTTTAAGGCACAAATTTCATTGTTCATCTCAGACTTTCAGGCCTTGACCCTGAAGTATGAAAGCCATATTCCCAATGTATTTTTGAAGAGGTGATCATGCACACTGGAGACTGTTATTTCTACACCTAAAATTATAAAATATGGACAGGTGTCGTACTATAAGACTTAGCCTCCCCAGGTCACTTTTTCCTTGACAAATCTGTAGTAGAGGAAAGACTAGATTAAGTTTACAATTAACAACATATGTAACAAGTTCTAGGATGGCATAGACTACTCAGTGAGACCTTATAAAAATCTGGAAAAAAAATATGGTTGATTCCATATGAGAAAAGGTCAGAAAGACTTTTATTGTCTTAAACTCAACCTTCCCTCAGTTTAACAAGTTTTGGTAAGTATCAAACTCATGTCAAATTCTGATCAAGAGTTTTAGGAAACTTGAAGAAACCAAGAAGAAAATAGAACCAAGGTCCAGTGACTCCCTCTGGTCAAGTTATCATCATCCCCGTCTGCCTAAAGCTTCTTAAATGAGAGGAATTATGTAGCTAGCCATCATCCCTATTAGTCTAAGATTGCCCTGATGGATACACAGCAGTTGTCATAATATATGGCATTATAGCAGGCATAGTGGCTTATGTCCATAATACCAGCACTAGGGAAGCAGAGGCAAGGAGGATCTCTGTGAGTTCAGGCCAGCTTAGGCAATAGAATGAGACTCAGCTTAAAAAAAAAAGAACAGTCAACTATATATGTAGAGCTTGTCTTTTTTCACTAGCATCAGATGCCATATTATCTGGTACCCCATCTAAGTGGATCGTTGCATTTAGAATAATGATGAAGCAGGGCACAGTGGCACACACATATATTCCCATACCTGGGGATGCTAAGGTAGAAGGATTGAGAGTTTGAGTTCTATCTAGGCAGTCAACAAAAACTCATCTCAAAACAAAAACAAACATGGATAATGGTCTAGTTCATTCTAAGATGGGCCTATTTGGTAGAGTGAACATAGTATAAGAAGAGGAAAGGCATTAAAAAGAAATGTTTGGAGAGATGGCTCAGTGGTTAAGAACACTGGTTGTTCTTGCAGAAGACCTGGGTTCGAATCCCAGCACCCACATGGCAGCTAACAACTGTCCTGTAACGCCAGTCCCAGGGGATCTGACAGCCTCTTCTGACCTCCGCAGGCATTGCACAACATAGATGTACTTACCTACATGCAGGCAATACACGCATACACATAAAATAAAAATAATTTTTTTAAAAAAGGAATGTTTGATGCCATGGAATCTTCTCCACCTTTGCAGATCATGATTCCCCATTTTTCTTCTCAGTGTTAAGTGTTCTTTCCTAAGCCCTCTATTTTCTTTCAGTCTTCTTTATTTCAAGATCTAGCCCTAAAAAGTTAAGTTTTTCAAAAATTTGGTTAGAAGTCCCTGCCTCATATTTTGTAGGGTTTTTTCTCATCTCTTCATTCAAATAGAAATGGCCTTCCTGCTAATGTAGGTGTATGGGGATGTGCTGCCAATGAGAATGGCACATGCAGCCTCATTCTGTCTCTAAATCCTCCTGTCTCAGAAGACCATCCATGTCTGTGACTCAGGCCTCCACTTTTTGTTATCATTCTTATTTGTAAGCTTGCTGAACAGAGTAAGAATTGGAGATTTTTAATAGATGCCTGTTGAATTTTTATCTCCTTGGCAGTGTCCTAGATAGTCCTAGTCGACTGGACGAGGAGCACCGGCTTATAGCTCGTTATGCTGCTCGACTGGCTGCAGAAGCAGGAAACATGGTGAGTGAATGGAGGATCCCAGGAGAGTCCCAGAGGGCACATTGTTGAATATGCATATCATAAGAAAATAGTGAGCTTTATACTCAGAAGAGTGGACAGGTCAGGGATAGAAAGTAGGAGTATGTTTAGAGAAGAGAAGGAACAGCCTTTAATTTTATCTATAATGTTTTCTTTGAAAGAAAAATCAAGAAAAGAAAATCAAACAGAATTTAGTTCTTCAGAACTATCAATACCGCTGGGCGTGGTGGCGCATGAATCCTAGCACTTGGGAGGCAGAGGCAGGTAGATCTCTGTGAGATCAAGGTCAGCCTGGTATACATAGCAAGTTCCAGGCCACTTGGGGCTACAGGGAGACCCTGTAGGAGAAGGAGAAAAAGAAGAGGAGAAGGGGAAGAGGAGGAGGAGGGAGGAGGAGGAGGAAGAGGAGGGGGGAGCAGGGAGGAGGAGGAGGAGGAGGAGGAGGAATATATATACTAGTAAACTCCTAAAAATACTGATCAAGAGTAAAAGAGAGGGCCTAGAGAGATGGTTCAGCAGTTAAGAGCACCCAGGTTTGATTTCCAGCACCTACATGGTAGCTAACAACCATCTGTAATTCCAGTTCCAGGGAATCCGAGTGTCTGTTCTGTTCTCTTGGCATTGCTCAACATAGGTATGCTTATGTACATGCAGGCAGTACACTCATACACTTAAAATAAAAATAATAGCCGGGCATGGTAGCGCACACCTTTGATCCCAGCACTCGGGAGGCAGAGGCAGGCAGATCTCTTTGAGTTCAAGGCCAGCCTGGTCTACATAGTGAGTTCCAGGACAGCTGGGGCTACAGGGAGACCCTGTCTCAAAAAGACAACATATCTGTTAAGGAAATTGAATTCTGAATTTAACTTCCCACCAAGAAAACTTCATGCCCTACTGAGTTAACTTTTGAGTATTAGCAAGCTTCAAGGAGAAAAAAATACTAGACCTGTGTAGCCTTCATCAGAAAATACAGGAAGAAGGAACACTTTCCAAGTCATCTGATCTGATTTTAAAACAGGATAGGGCATTACAAGAAAAAAATGACTGACCAGATTCTCTCATAAGCATAGCTTGAAAAGTTCTTAACAAAATATTATCAAATCAAACCCAATAATATGTGAAAGGAAAATACTTCATGATAAAACATTTGTCTGAGGAATACAAATTAATTTAATACATAAAAATGAACCATTTTAATACATAAAAATGGAGAGATGGCTCAGCAGTCAAGAGCACAGCACTTGCTACTCTTCCAAAGGACCTGAGTTTGATTCCCAGCACCCACATTGGGTGGCTTCCAAGGGATCAGGCACTCTCTTCTCACTTCCATAAGCTCTGCATGTATACAACATTCACTTACACACATACACATAGATATAAATAATCAAAATAAATCTTCAAAAAATGATACAGTATAATTCATATTAAAAATTTAAGGAAGAAATTTGTACGATCATTTCAATAGATGGTAGGAAAGGCATTTGACAAAGTACAGTGCTCTTTGTGAAAAGGCTTCCTACACATACCAGGAACAAAAGATGACTGATTTCTTCCTTCTAAAAAAGAGCACCTATACAAACCTACAGCAATTCTCCCATTTAAATGCTATATTTTAGAACATTTCCTTGCTTAATATGTCCTCCAAATCTACTTTTACTACCTCTGTTTAAAATTATAATAGATCCCCTAGCCAGTGCAACACAAGAAGCATAAGTATTGAAAAAAAGGAAAATGGTCTTTGTTTGAAGGTGATATGATCATCTAAAGAGATGAAAACCTGTGAAACCTATGAAAACACTGCTAGAACAGGTAAGTACATTTATAGCAGTGTTGCAAGATAAAATGTATTTAAAGAGGGCCAAGGGCACGCAGCTCTGTACTGCAATACTTGTCTAGCATACACAAGACCTTAGATTCAATCCCCAGCACCACCACCACCAATAATAATAACAATGGTAATAGTAATGGTGAAAGTTAATTAAGACTGAAAACTATAAAACCTTTCTAGAAAAATTGAAGAAAGCCTGTGTAAATTGGGAGCCATGTCATATTATTGGCTAAAAGATTCAGTGTTATTGACATAGTATAAATCTTCAAACTAACTTAATACAGTCAGTACCAGTCAGAGGCCCAACAGGCATTTTATAAGTTTTGTTATTGTTTTTGGTTGTTTGAGAGAGTCACACTATGTAGCTTTGCCTGGTCTCAACCTACTATGTAGACGAAACTATACTACTTTTGGAGTTCCTCCTACCTCTGCCTCTCCAGTGCTGGAATTATAGGCACGTGCTACTATACCAGACACAACTAGCCTTTTTCTTTAAATTGGCAAACTCATTTTAGATTGTGTTTTGAATACTAAAGGACCTAATGTAACCATAACAATCTTGAGAAATAACAAAGTTGGCAAACTTAAACCTATTTGACATCAAGGCTTACTATAAAACTCTAATAATTAAGAAAGTAAAGTTTAGCCAAAGGATGGGCAGATAAACCAAGGGAATAGGATAGAGTGTCCATATAATAGACTCACTTTGGAAAGGTCAAATGACTTGTCACAAGGGCACAAAAGCAATTCAGTTAGGAAGGAAAATCTTTTTAACAAATGTTGCCCGACTAGGGATGTAGCTCAGTGGTAGAGTGCTTGCCTAACAAGTGCCAGGCACTGGGTTTGTTCCCCAACACCACCACCCCAAAAATGCTGCCTGAAGAACTGGATATCCACATAGGAGGAAAAAAAAAAAAGAAAACTTTACGCTACTTTATACCATCCAAAGAAAGCAGTTTGAAATATAAACTTAAACATAAGAGCTGAGACCAGAAAACTACTAGAAGAAAGCAAAGGAAAACTTATGTAAGGCATAGATTTTCACAAACCATTTAAAAACTGATAAACTGGTTTTTGTTGGGGCTAGAGAAATGGCTCAGTGGTTAAGAACTCTGGCTGCTCTTGTAGAAGACTCATCATCAGTTCCCAGCATCCACGTGGCAACTATCCTAACCCCATACCCTCTTCTGGCCTCTTTGGCATTTTATATGTAAGCAAAACATTCATACACACATAAAATAAAAATAAATAAAAATTTTTAACAAAAAAATGCTCCTTGTCAATTATAAAACATTTTCTTCGAGCCGGGCATGGTGGCACATGCCTGTAGTCCCAGCACTTGGGAGCAGAGGCAGGTAGATCTTTGTGAGTTCAAGGCCAGCCTGGTCTACACAGTGAGTTCCAGGACAGCTGGGGCTGCAGGGAGACCCTGTCTCAAAAAGACAAAACAAAAACATTTTCTTCATCAAAATGACTTCAGTGGGTGGTACAGTTTTTTCCTAGCATACCTGAAAACTTGGGTTCAGTTTCTAGTACCACATAAACTGGGCATGGCAATAAAAGCCTATAATCCTAGCCCTGGGGATGTAGAAGCAGGAGGCTCAGAATTTCGAGGTCGTCCTCAGTTACATAGCAAGTTTGAGACCAGCCTATGCTACATGAAACTGTCTCCCCAGAAAAAAAATTTTTAAAGGAAGGAGGGAGGAACAAATGAACGAACGAACTGGGCTGGAGCGGTGGCTCAGCTGTTAAGAGCACTGGCTACTCTTGAAGAGGATCTGGATTTGGTTCCTAGCATCCACATGGTGACTAATAGCCATCCATAGCTCCAGTTCCAGGGGAATCCAACGTGCCCTTCTGAACTCCATGAGCATTACATGACATTATGCCGCATGCAGGCAATACACTCATATAAATAAAATATTAAAAGTATTCTGCACCTTGACAACCTATCTTTTAAAAAAAGAAGAATGAGCAAAAGCTGGACTCACCTTTAATCCCAGTCCTTAAGAAGCAAAAGTAGACAAATCTTTTTGAGATCAAGGCCAGCTTGTTCCAGGCCAGCTGAAGCTACAGGGAGATTCTGTCTCAGAAAACAACAACAAAGAATGGGCAAAAGAGTTGAACAGGTCAATAAATAAAGTGTTTGAGGGACTGAAACAATGGCTCAGCACTTAAGAGCACTGGCTGCTCTTGCAGAGTACCTGGGTTCAGTTCCTAGCACCCACATGGCAGCTAACAATTGCTCATAACTCCAGCTCCAGGGGACACCACACCCTCTTTTGGTCTCCATACGTATTGCACACACGCAGGGAACTTATGTACATGCTGGGAAAACACTCATACACATAAATAAAGTGTGTGATACTAATCATCAGGAAAATGCTAATGATAACTGTGATGCAATACTGCTACTTCCCCTCAACCCTTGAAATGGCTAAAATGGAAAGATCTGACAGTACTAAATGTGGGGGGAGGATATGAAGGGGTGGGTAATGTCACATATTCCTGGCAGGTATGGACAATAGCATAGATATTCTTAGAAAACTATTTGATAGTTTTCCAAAGGGTTAAACTTTATCCTATGATAACCCAGAAATTTTACTCTTCTTTAGCCAAGAGAAATGAAAATATATGTTCACAGAAAGCTTCCTACAAAAGTCTTCATAGTTATTTTAATCATATTAATTGGGAAAGCCTAGATATTTATCAACACATTTATATAATGGAGTAGTACTCTTGGCACAAAGAAGAATGAACACTGATACAGGCAGCATCGTGGGTGAACATCAAAAGGATGAGTAAAAGCTAGTCACAAAAAGTACATACTGTTTTATTCCATTTAGTGGAATTCTAGAAGAGAAAAACACATGTTTGAAAATGGAAATTGAATCAAGAGACTCTAGGAATTGAGATAGAGAGGGGGAACTTTCTCAGTTGATAAAATATTGTACATTTTTCTAATGATGACATAACAGTAAGATCCAAACCAAGAATTATACATATGAAAGGGTTTGATTGAAATGGGAGTGACTGCCCTAGGACTTGCAACATTTACTTATTTATTTTCATTTATTTATTCATTTGTTTATTTATGTTGAGACAGGACTTCACTGTGTAGCCTAGACAGGGCCTCTAACTTGAGATAATCCTC